ATTATTCAGTAAACAAGAATACAAAGTTAAGTTCGGTACCTGTCATAAATGAGATAAGTTGATTTAAAATTTATAGATCTGTTCAATCTTTTGTAGTTTTCGCCTCCTGGGGTAGCATACAGGCTCAGGCTGTTATCATCCGCAATTAAATTCATAACCATACCATGACCATACCAAAGCAATTAAAAGAATTTTTTATGCTATTCTTTCTTTTCTAGGCATTTCATACTATCCAAACTGGTGAACTGACAGTATCTGAGAGATAAAAGTAAGATAAAAATATATAGGGATTTATTAACATTACTAACTTCACATGTTTAGGCACAAACACAGCATATTTTCTGCCTGGTACAGATGTCGGAATTATGGAACAAATGCAAATTTGAACTGCACATGAATGCACTTGCAAAAAAAATAACAACTGTGTAAAACAGATTCATTTTCAAAATTCAAATTCAGCCTTGTATAATATTCCCTTCAAGCCACTTCATTATTCTAACACATGAAACTATCAACTGTTTCCCAAAAGAAAACACTGGTTTGCTAAGAACAATAGTTTACCATGGTGTATAAGCCTGAGAATCAGGTTCTATGGGCCAGTCTAACGTGTTATTTATCAATGGTAAAAGCCAAATCAAAATATTTAAACATACTACATAAACACACTACATGCTGAATTGGCTCTGTGTTGCCAGACCATCCATATCCCTTTAACCTGCTAAGTAAGCTAGAAAACTAAAACAATCAACAGTTCTGAAACTGTTTTTGCCTATCCAGTCTCTGGGCCCCAAACCTTTACACAGCAGGCCTTCCAAACAGGATTTTTTCGTCAGTTAAAATAGAAATATTTATTTGAACTTTGGGAATAGGATTACACTTCTTTCAGTGAGGGTTAGAGTTTAGGTAAACTGTGTTCAAATTGTGACTGGCCCCATAGTCAAAATTTTGAGAGGATGTTTTGGGAAAAAGATGACAGACATAATCATTTTACTGATACCAGAAACCATTACAAACAATCGCCCAACAGACAAGGAGGGATACAATTTAGCCTCTCCAAAATCAATGGAAAGATTCATGAAAAGACTACTTTTTCATAAATGGCTGCAACTTAAATGACAAGAGTGCGCGACAGAGTAGACAATTACTATAGATGAAATTAAACACCACTTGTTTATCAGTGTCTAAAATCATCTTTTGGGGGGATTAATTTGTTATATAGAATTTTTTATGGTTTTGGTCATTCTAATGATATTGTACCTCTTGTGTGACAAACTCCTTACATTATGTGTTCCTTTTTCATGCTTTTTTTCCAGGTAAAAGATAGAGAAAATTACCAATCTTACCTCATCTTAACTAAACATAATGATAGGACTAGAAGAAACAAAATGTGTTTTGTGCAATGGAAGATGGTACAGAGAAGAAAAGCACTTTGAAATGGCCCAAACCAGAACTATCAATTAGCCACATGCAACATTTTAACACCATACCAGACAGGCATGATGGATATTCAGAACAGCACTAATTATGCTCCGTTTTTTTCCTTGTCACATTTTGCTTGGAGTTATGCAAGTGGCATACCTCAAATGTTTGTTTTTAATTTGCCGACAGCTTTGTAACATTGCTACTCACACCCAAATCATGAAAGAATTCTGCTCGTTATTCGGTGCTTTGCTGACATTTTTTGATTGTAGTGAGGATAGAAGCAGAATGTAAATTCTAAAGGTTGCCTTGCTGTTAACGGTAATATTTGGGAACATTTCTGCCAGGGACCTGCAGTCTATCTGCCATCACATGATGATAAAAGGCAAAATAATGCATACATTATCTTTATGATGTTACTGATTTTCTTTAAAAGAAAGAATACATGCCACTGCTGATAGATGATTGATCCATCTTGTTCCAAAACTTTTAATATTCTAAGGTGCACAATAAACAAAGAATTATGGAATCAAAGATGCAATACTTTCATCAAGGCTAATAGATACAAGGGCATGATTATACATAGATAAAAGGCATGCCTCTTCATCTCTTATCCTGCTAAACTTTCAGTAAAAGTACATAAGTCGAGGCAGTATGGATGCAATTATACTTTGAAGAACCTGCCACATCCGAATGAACTGAATTGATTATCTGATAGTAATTAAAATAAAACTTGTTGAACAGGGTGAAAAAATAGACAACACTGTGGCACACACTCACAGGAAAGGTTGTCTTTGGTCTTTTGCAGAAGTCAGAGGGAAGCACGCACAGTTCCAACGAGGAGCGACAGTCGTGCCAGCCCCATGAGCGGCCAAATTTAGATCCACCCGTAATTGAAGCCAGCTATCGCATCAAACTCCCCGATACACACAAGATCAGGTTTGTTTCAGTACAATAGATGCCTTTCTGAAACTGATTTAACTGAACAGCAGGCAAGCATGTTTTCCTTTCCCTCCCGTTTTTAAAAGATAGTATTTTTGATAGATATTTGAGCTCCATGTCATTTTCTTTTAATGGGGGACCACTTTCATTTATTACAAACATATTCAAGGAACAATTTTTTTTTCACTTCTGTGTGACAACCAATTATGGAATATATCTGTTTCCCCTTCCTATTTCTCAAAACAATCTATCAAAATACAAACTGACAAATATTATCTTCTAAAAATAGCAGTTGTGTCCAAAATATCTCATAAAAATGAAAGCACGTGGTATTTAAGTCAACCACTCTCGGGTTATATGGAAGACAAGGTCACCATCCACACCCACGTTTTCAATTAACTCCAGCAAGATGAAACTGTCTGCAGATAAAATGCCAGCTGAAATACCAGCGCAAACAATACAAGTTTGTCCTATACAAACCAGCAGGGGCACCTGTAACACCTCCCCTCCCATTTGTTTCTACCGCTACCATTTCAATAAAAAAACCCTGCTTTTGTTTTTACGCCACCGAACACTATCTTTTCCCATGTTGGATGGATCAAAATGCCAAATTTGACCTTAATTTTTTTTCCGCGATAGCAGTCCCAAGTATACTGCTCTATAAAAACAGGCGCTGTTTGCATATGTTTATTTGGCACATATATCACCATGATATCCAACTGTATTTACAGCTTGGATGATTCTAATATCATTGCGTTCGTTTCTCACACTATGGTAGTAATACAAAATAATATCACCCGAGGCAATAAAACTTGTAGTACGATAAAAGTAGCATAGAATTTAATAAGCCCAAAGTGGCTACAGGTTTAGTAGTAGTAGAGAACGGAGTCGTTGCAACAGAAGAAACGGCGTCAAGTACATACTCTAACCTGGAGCCTGTTTAACAATAATAGAACTTAAGCTTAAAAGTTGACCTGTACTTTTAGAACAAATTGTTAGTTTTCTCTGACCCAAGTTAATTCCCTGGTAGACCAATTTCATGAAATATTAGTTTTGCAATGAGAAAGAAAAGTTTACTGTTTCCAACATAATAATAGGCTTTAGGAAACTCCTGCACAAATTTTGCTGAACCGAAGAAGACCAAAAACTGTGAGGTTCTCTCAGTACATACTATCTCTTCACAACAACCTTTTTCCTCACAAAACATCAAGGACTTCAATTTTTTTCTTCTTTTTAGGAATAAAAAAGGTGTCACGATCATATAATACCATCCTGTTATCTCCACACCTGCCATCCACCAGTCTCACCACATCTTTCTGTCACAGCACAAAGTGGGTCTTAACACTGGCTAAAAAAACCTATTAACTTCCGTCACCCTGTCAACCCTCCCCAGCAAGACACTCTCCTTTCTATTATACACACCAAGGGCCATTCCTCATTTATACCATTGGGAAACACAAGGATAGATTGGGACTTTGATTTGTTATCCTCGTCTTGGTCACGGCAGACTCGCAACATNATGGGGAGACTGTGAAGCAAACGGTGCAATGTTAGTAGTTATGGCAAGCTAGCAACATTGATGGAACAATACAACCAACACCATGGAAACTCTGGATAACATCTCACATACATGACATGGGCAGATTGAGAATGTCATGTGTGTTTGTTTGTGTGTGTGTGTGTGTGTGTGTGCACGTGCTGGCATGTGTTCCTGTTTGTTTAAGTAACTCTGCCAATGCATACCAAGAGGCAAAACATTGCATTTTTCAGTGAGATGTTTAAAATTATAATATACATTCAATTACTTTGTCTATAATTTTAAATAAAATAGTGTGATCATAGCCAATGAAAAGTGTAAGAATTTATATTTGTCACTAATGATGTCATACCAGAGTTCCTATGTTTTTAGTGCAAACGTGATAATAACTTGAAGGCAGTGAAAGTGCAACAGCATACTAATATAGTGACGTGTAGTATAAAGTTATCAAATATTTTAATGCTGAACAAAAAAGTAAACAAACATGAGCACAGAATTCAACCCATAATATTCCTTACTCCATCTTTTAGCCACTTATTCTTACCAATTTATTTAAGGAATTTCATTTTAGATGAAAAAATGTTCCGAATCGACAAAGATCAAAGATGCTATGAAAAGGGAAGGAGGGAGATATACTGCTTGCTACAGACATATCTAATATGTAATATTCAGCTAAATCATCTCTTAATAGTAAGCCTATTTGACCTCCCCCTTCTTGTCAAATATGTTAACATTGAGATAAATCTTAGCAATCCATCAAACTTGGCCTAGCTGAGTTTTAATCCAAACATACATGAGGCCTTAGTATGATTTGGAATTGTGATTATCTCCACTGTGATACAAATTATATTTTTAGCCTAACTGTGATGTAACTGGCCTTCTGTCCTGGACAAATCGATCACATAGTTGTATTTCAGATCAGTAACAGTTTTTAGGACAAACAGATTTTACTAAGCGATATACATTAATATGTTTATCTCTCCAATTCAATTCTGACTGCTCAATTTGATGATATTGAGAAAGTTGAAACATCTTTTTCCTTTATTTCTTGTGCTTCTACTCACAATTCAGGTTATATAAAATATCTATGTAGCTCCCTCACCTGGCCCATCATCTGGCTGTATGTCCTGAACATTGCCGTCGTCATCTGGGATCTTAGGTGCCTGCAGGAGCTTAAATCTCTCAGTGTTTGGACTGACTAGTTCCTCACCATTACTGTACACTGCAGCTATCCTGAACTTGTATGGAATTCCTAGAAGGGAAAAGCATGGGGTTTTATGATACATCACCTTTGGCCAACATGCTATTAAATAAAGAAATTGGTGTTTGGATATATGTAAAGCAAGAGAATTAAAAATGAATAATAATGAGGTTTGAGCAGTCTTGGTGTATGTGCTTTCACAGTTTCTTCCTTTTTAAAAATTCATTTATCGACTTCTTTGACACTTCTCGTTAGTATCGTCTTTTTGTACGTTTGACTTTCTTTATTTTGCTAAAATGGAACTCTTTTGCAGAAAAACGCAAGAAAAAGCTAACAAGAGCCCAACCATCAAAATGACCCATTTACCTGTGCGCAGTCCTTGGAGAGAAAACATGCAAGTGGAGCAGGCGGAGGTGTTAGCGTGGGTCTTCCACACCCCTTCCTCCTTATACTGGACCTTGAAGTACTTCACTGGGGTCTGCAGGTTCAGGGGCACTGACCATTTCAGAAGAACCATGTTCTCTTCTATCTGCAGGACCTCTGGCATGGTGGGAGGCAGGACACCATCTGAAGAACAGGTAATATAAAATATATCACTTTGCAGTTTGGGCAGTCAACACAAGCACAATCTATTGTCCAGATAATTGTTGTCCAGATAAACGCCATCTACTGTCAACCATCATTTGTGTACAGTGACCTAAACCATTGTTTTTATCAAGAGTGTCAGTTTCAATGACCTCCAGCAAAGGACATACCAACATTAAGGTGATTTTTTCCTGCCTACATCACCTAACTTGGATTTTAAAGTATAATAATTGTACTTACTTTATGTGGGATGACTTATTATAATGGTTGCAAGAGATATATAATTTACATATCAAAATTATTTTCTGTTTTTTCTTCTTTAGGCCTCAATGTACCCTTGACCATTCAAACTTTTTAGCTATACTTTCTTTCTCTTCTACTCCTCCATCCACAGGCAGACCAACAAATACGCTTACAATCTTCAATAAAAACAAAATGACAAACATGCACACGGACAGACAAAAGCATTACTTTGTGAAGAACTAGACGTCCCTTCCTCTTCACCCTCAGAGCCCCCTGGTGGCTGATTGGTGGTGCTGTTGCTAGGGATCACAGTCAACATGGCGTAGGCATAGGTGGCACCATACTTGTTGCTAACCAGGCACTGCCATATACCAGAGTGGCGCATCTGGATGTTGGAGACTGTGATGCTGGTGTCTGAAAACAGTTCGATTTTTGTATATATCAATTAAAGATAATATAAATATGAGATAAACCATCCGGCTTAAACACTAGCATGCTATCTTGTGCAATTTTTTTCTTCCTCTCCCTTTTTTAGATTTAAACTAAGATTTATCAGAGGAGAACAAATAATTAGAACTTATAAAACAAGCATGCATAAAGGGAAAATAACATATAAATTCTATTATAGGAAAATATTTTTTTTAATTATCAGGACAAACAAATGTTTTTGATGGTGCAATTTCTGAGCTATGTTTCTATGGTAACAGGAAAGCTTTAAATGTTATACATCAATTACACAAAAACACATATCCTTTACAGAGAGCATGCAGATTTCATATATTCCATGCATTTTTATGCAGAGAGATTTTTTTTTTTAATCCTCTAAAACATGCTTTTTTCTGTTTGACAACAACAAACTAGTAGTACGCATTTTGAAACGCTTACCATTTTCACTTACTGTGGCCCAATGATAAGCAAAGGGAGAAAATTTCAGTCAGTGACAATCAATTATCTTAAGTCAATCATCTTATCTGTGTACCTTATTTTTGTCTTCCATTCACAAAGGTTCCAGTAAAATAATTTACATAGAATGTCCTCTCTAGATGCCTTAAAGTTAAAAACAATCAACACAGTGAAATTTTCTAATTGACATCTGGTATTAAATTTGAAAGAAGCTGTGTGCGCATGTGCGTGTAACCACAGAGAGTAATTGTAAATCTTATTATTTCAAACACCAGCTCTTACCTTGCACCTGTATACTCTGATCAGTGTCTGGTACAGGCTCTCCGTCATGGACCCACTGTGTCTTTATTCTGGCCGTGCCATATGTCTCACAATGAAACGTCACGGTGTCCCCTACTGTCACCACTTTGTTACTGGGGGCATTGGTTATCTCTGGTGGGACTGAATCATGAAACAAAGTATGTGAGATGTAATTTTGACGTATTTCATTTAATAAAATAGAATAATAATGACAAATAAATCAAAAGTAAATAAATACATGTAACAATTGTACGAGCAAAAAAAAAAAAGTACTTGAAATAAATACTAATACATAAACCGTGCAATTTTATTGTAAATACACCCAAAACGTGAAATCAAATCAGCTGTTAAAAGGTGAATATTATGTTTGCCTTCAAGTTCAAACCAAATTTGGACTCAGTTCTTTACTGAACTTTGGCATAGATAAAAATCCCAGCCATCAAATTGTTGTGTTGTCTGGAATCATTGTTAGAAATTAACGCTGGACCATCTGCCCGGGGCTGACAACTTTCAGAACGAGCTGAGAAGTTTTCCCACCTGGCAGACATTCAGTCCACCTACTTTTCAAGATGGCTGGACTTTCAGTCCAGCAACTAATTTTCCTAAGAGGCAACACTGGCTGGAATCATATCTTTCACCACACCCATTGTGTTAGATGTGACTGGTAACAATGCTCACCTAACACATCCACCATTGCTATAGCTGTGACTGCTGAGTCCACCTCATTGTCTCCGCTGCATATATACGTCCCTATGTCCTGAATCTGGACATTTTCTATCAGCAGAGTACCTAGAATCGAAAAGGAAAATATCATTATCTGCATCATGAATAGTATGTTATTGGAGAGTAGGTACTTTATTTAATTTTCATTGTTTCTTCTTTATCAATTTTTTTTAGATCTCGAGTCAAAAATTTATGAGCAAATCAGTTAATTTCAAGTGTCCATCCACTGTGTATATTCATGAGCTTGAATATGGGGGGGATTAATGTCACTGTTAGAGTGTAATCAGCATTTAATTTTCATACATGTTGTAATTCAAATAACAATATTCTATTAAAATGTAATATAAGGCAATCTACTTATTTTAAATTCTTCACCATATTTTGGCATTTATACTTCAGAATGAATAAGCAGAATATGAGATTTTAACCTAAAGAAAATATCTTTTTCGTAACAGTCAGCCTGGTTCAGGAAGCATGCAAATCCATTTCACACACGCCTCATAGATCAAAGTCAGTGCTGCATTCCCAACAAGGAAAAATAGAAGTTGGGAACCAGCCGACTGTCACAAGTCTCTCATATATCAGGATGAAGAATTCAGCATACCCTTTTCGTTTATTAAGTAAACCTTAATCACTCACTCACACATTCTCTAAAGTTACTCAGTAATTGCGGAGAAAAACACTGAAAACCAAACACCAGAGGATGCGTTAGAATACAATCTCTGAAACGGCACCAAAGCCTCCCAAAACAGCTCCAGGCTGTGGAGCCTAATAAGAGAGTTCCCTCCTCTCTCTCTGTGGTTCCGTGACTCTGTTTGCCTAAACTTTCAACATCTGTTGTTCTCTGCCATGTTGACAGTTGTTTTTTGTTGTGTGGGTCTTGAACGCAGCTGGACGGCAGTGGTACTAAGGGTTAATCAAAACTGCTACTGCTGCTGAGACTGGGAGCAAAAGGGCCTGTAAACTGTGGAGTTTTATAACCTTTGTTTCTTTTTTCTGGAGCAAAGTTCCTACACCATCCATCACTAATACACCTTTCATTGAGTTTTCACCTTTCAAAACATTTCAACTCTATTTGATGAACCAAGTTATGAAATTTGTTTTGCGTAGATAAATTTTTCACAAAAAAATCCTTTGTCCTTAATAATGAAAGAATCCAAAATGCTCTCACTTTTACCACAACACAGACAGAAATTAATCATAGAAAACAGTTAAAAAATCTGAAGTGGGACTAATAGAGACCAAGAACTGCACCCCATGAGGCGAACCAACTGAGATTTTTCTCTTTGATTTCTCTCTCTTCCCTAGAGAAACCCGTCCTTCGGTCCCAGACAACAGTCTGCTTGGTTCGTTAACCACAGGTCTTGCTTCATGTCTCAGTCAATCCTAATATCACCAAACACACTGATGAAACAAAATCATGTGCTTAATTTCATTTTAATAAATTGTACTAATGGGCTTGAGTCTGTAGAAAACTTGGAGCGGAAATTGAAGTGACAACTGACTGATTATGTAATTTGTACCAAAGGAGAACTGGCTTGTGTTTGGAAAAACTGAAAATTTGGTTGACGTTTTCCGTTTTCTTTCCATTTTTTAGTAGTGAGACACAGTTGACTCTTTTGTTCTATTTTCTTTGCATTTCTATTTTTTCTTTGAAATCAACTTTTGCCAAAAGTTTCACAGGATATCATGGAGTTTTATCCCTTAGTTCTATTCAATAACCTTTAAACATACATATATATATTCAATGCACACAGACTGATTTTCATACCACAGATTAAAGTCTTATCCACAGTTCCCAAATCAACTCAGTGAGTTTTTGAAATGGAATAAGAAATCTGTTCAATAGTAATTGGGCCTGAAATACATGTTTACTGCATTTAACAAATACTACTTCATAAAGCTTTTTTTTAATCACTAGTTAAAAGAATTATACTGATGAGCAAAAACAGATGAACAGATCTCAAGAAGCTGTAACAAATTCAGCATAAGGTTAACTTTTAAAGCCAAATACCTGTGAAACTGGTCTGAACTAACAACGAAGGAAAAATAATTAAAACTAAGAAAAAATCCGAAAGAAAAACTTTCTCATTCTCCATCAACTTTTCCAGCCAGCTGCTGATGTCATGTTTGTGATATGTAAGGGTTCATTCAGAATGAAAGTATCGACCCAACTACTTGGGGACTCTTGCTGAATGCAATCAGATAAACAGATCAACACACTTTGAGTAGATACAAATATAGTTGCTCATTATACCAGTATATTGGAATCAAGAAGAGGTGTGTTTATCTGTTAAACTGATTGCAATCAGCAAGAGTCCCTGCAGAGTTGGATCAATCTATGTAGAAAGTTAGTTTCATTGGGAATAAGCACTATTCACACTGTTTCCCCCCTTTTGCTGTCAGAGGTCTGAGGTGTCAAAATCACTTGGTTGACTTATGCAAGGAAATAATTTGATAACTGGCGAAAAGAAAATACATCTAATGACTAACAAGGGCAGACTGTGGTTTCCCTGGGTCTAATTTGAGGTTTTCCCTGGCTGCACCTTGCAATATCATTCACACATGATCATTTAAAAAGTGACGGGAGAAATAACACCTGGAAACTGAAAACATCCTTAATCATTTTCCCTTTAGTGGTTGATTTTAAAAGTTATTAGAAAATCATCACATACCACCTTACACCAGTGACATCATTGAAAAGCAAGGACAATTACAGCAGCTATTCTTAATATGACAAAGATCATTTAAAGATAGGAAAAATAGCCTCATCCTTTCAAAATCTGTCACATTTTTCCTTAGCTCCCAAGTAAAGTATGACAGGAGAGAAAAAATATTCACTGTGGGAAACAAAAGACTGAGGTTTACTAAAGCTATATATGCTATCTGGTAGATGGAGGCGGAAAAGAGAGAAGATCCTGTGAGAACGGAGCCATGTTTTCCCTAGCGCTGAGATTGATAAGATAGCCAGAGGTGTCTGCATTGAGTGGAAGTCATTCTGACAGCTCCACATAGCATGCATTTCTACAGTCTGGCTAGAGTTTCCAATGCCTTGCATTACTCACTGGTCAGCAACTGCCCAGACCAGAGTCCATAAATTGACCAGTGTCAATCTGGGGGCACTTGCTGAGTATCTCACCTATGATATCTGGGTAGTTTATTACATAAAACAACAACAAATATCCAAAGTTCCCTGTTGTCTGTTAGTTTGAGCTGGTTATTGATAAGCAATGGATGTGATGGCAATTGTGACAGTTGAGACAGGCCATCATTGTGTTTTTAGGCATTGTGTTTCCAGTATCTAAATAATCAATCTTCAACTAAATTTTCTATTGTCTATCACTCACAGAACATACTTCCAAAGTTATCTGTTCTTCCCTTTCTTTCACGCACCTACATCAAACCTCACAACACCCACACACCATAACAAATCCATGGATGATACTTACCAAACTCTTGCCTAAATCGCCCCTCTGGCAGCTGTCCACCATATTTGTCCCATGATACCCTGGGGACAGGAGAGCCACCCACAGCACACTCCAGGGTCAGGGTACTCCCCAGGATGACCTCAGTATTCTTAGGGGGCGGCAGGATGAAACGGGGACCAACGTTAGCCAGTGGTGCTGGAATTGACAAGAATAGAAATAAATAATTATTCAGTAAACAAGAATACAAAGTAAAGACCGGTACCTGTCATAAGTGAGATAAGTTGATTTAAAAATTATAGATCTGTTCAATCTTTTGTAGTTTTCACCTCCTGGTGTAGCATACAGGCTCAGGCTGTTATCATCTGCAATTAAAACCATAACCATACCATGACCATACCAAAGCAATTAAAATAATCTTTTATGCTATTCTTTCTTTTCTAGGCATTTTATACTATCCAAACTGGTGAACTGACAGTATCTGAGAGATAAAAGTAAGATAAAAATATATATGGATTTATTAACATTACTAACTTCACATTTTTGGGCACAAACACAGCATATTTTCTGCCTGGTACAGATGTCGGAATTATGGAACAAATGCAAATTTGAACTGCACATGAATGCACTTGCAAAAAAAAAACAACAACTGTGTAAAACAGATTCATTTTCAATATTCAAATTCAGCCGTGTAATATTCCCTTCAACCCACTCCATTATTCTAACACATGAAACTATCAACTGTTTCCCAAAAGAAAACACTGGCTTGCTAAGAACAATAGTTTACCATGGTGTATAAGCCTGAGAATCAGGTTCTATGGGCCAGTCTAACGTGTTATTTATCAATGGTAAAAGCCAAATCAAAATATTTAAACATACTACATAAACACACTACATGCTGAATTGGCTCTGTGTTGCCAGACCATCCATATCCCTTTAACCTGCTAAGTAAGCTAGAAAACTAAAACAATCAACAGTTCTGAAACTGTTTTTGCCTATCCAGTCTCTGGGCCCCAAACCTTTACATAGCAGGCCTTCCAAACAGGATTTTTTCGTCAGTTAAAATAGAAATATTTATTTGAACTTTGGGAATAGGATTACACTTCTTTCAATGAGGGTTAGAGTTTAGGTAAACTGTGTTCAAATTGTCACTGGCCCCATAGTCAAAATTTTGAGAGGATGTTTTGGGAAAAAGATGACAGACATAATCATTTTACAGAAACCATTACAAACAATCGCCCAACAGACAAGGAGGGATATAATTTAGTCTCTCCAAAATCAATGGAAAGATTCATGAAAAGACTGCTTTTTCATAAATGGCTGCAACTTAAATGACAAGAATCCGCGACAGAGTAGACAATTACTATAGATGAAATTAACACACCACTTGTTTATCAGTGTCTAAAATCATCTTTTGGGGGGATTAATTTGTTATATAGAATTTATGGTTTTGGTCATTCTAATGATATTGTACCTTTTGTGTGACAAATTCCTTACATTATGTGTTCCTTTTTCATGCTTTTTTCCAGGTAAAAAGATAGAGAAAATAACCGATCGTACCTCATCTTAACTAAACATAATGATAGGACTAGAAGAACCAAAATATGTTTTGTGTGATGGAAGATGGTACAGAGAAGAAAAGCACTTTGAAATGGCCCAAACCTGAACTATCAATTAGCCACATGCAACATTTTAACACCATACCAAACAGGCATGATAGATATTCAGAACAGCACTAATTATGCTCGGTCTTTTTCCTTGTCACATTTTGCTTGGAGTTATGCAAGTGGCATACCTCAAATGTTTGTTTTTAATTTGCCGACAGCTTTGTAACATTACTACTCACACCCAAATCATGAAAGAATTCTGCTCGTTATTTGGTGCTTTGCTGACATTTTTTGATTGTAGTGAGGAGAGAAGCAGAATGTAAATTCTAAAGGTTGCCTTGCAGTTAACGGTAGTATTTGGGAACATTTCTGCCAGGGACCTGAAGTCTATCTGCCATCACATGATGATAAAAGGCAAAATAATGCATACATTATCTTTATGATGTTACTGACTTTCTTTAAAAGAAAGAATACATGCCACTGCTGATAGATGATTGACCCATCTTGTTCCAAAACTTTTAATATTCTAAGGTGCACAATAAACAAAGAATTATGGAATCAAAGATGCAATACTTTTATCAAGTCTAATAGATACGAAGGCATGATTATACATAGATAAAAGGCATGCCTCTTCATCTCTTATCCTGCTAAACTTTCAGTAAAAGTACATAAGTCGAGGCAGTATGGATGCAATTATACTTTGAAGAACCTGCCACATCCGAATGAACTGAATCGATTATCTGATAGTAATTAAAATAAAACTTGTTGAACATGGTGAAAAAATAGACAACACTGTGGCACACACTCACAGGAAAGGTTGTCTTTGGTCTTTTGCAGAAGTCAGAGGGAAGCACGCACAGTTCCAACGTGGAGCGACAGTCGTGCCAGCCCCATGAGCGGCCAAATTTAGATCCACCCGTAATTGAAGCCAGCTATCGCATCAAACTCCCCGATACACATAAGATCAGGTTTGTTTCAGTACAATAGATGCCTTTCTGAAACTGATTTAACTGAACAGCAGGCAAGCATGTTTTCCTTTCCCTCCCGTTTTTAAAAGATAGTATTTTTGATAGATATTTGAGCTCCATGTCATTTTCTTTTAATGGGGGACCACTTTCATTTATTACAAACATATTCAAGGAACAATTTTTTTTTCACTTCTGTGTGACAACCAATTATGGAATATACCTGTTTCCCCTTCCTATTTCTCAAAACAATCTATCAAAATACAAACTGACAAATAATATCTTCTAAAAATAGCAAATTTGTCTAAAATATCTCATAAAAATGAAAGCACCTGGTATTCAAGTCAACCACTCTTGGGTTATATTGCAGACAAGGTCTCCATCCACACCCACGTTTTCAATTAACTCCAGCAAGATGAAACTGTCTGCAGATAAAATGCCAGCTGAAATACCAGCGCAAACAATACGAGTTTGTCCTATACAAACCAGCAGGGGCACCTGTAACACCTCCCCTCCCATTTGTTTCTACCGCTACCATTTCAATAAAAAAACCCTGCTTTTGTTTTTACGCCACCGAACACTATCTTTTCCCATGTTGGATGGATCAAAATGCCAAATTTGACCTTAATTTTTTTTCTGCGATAGCAGTCCCAAGTATACTGCTCTATAAAAACAGGTGCTGTTTGCATATGTTTATTTGGCACATATATCACCATGATATCCAACTGTATTTACAGCTTGGATGATTCTTATATCATTGCGTTCGTTTCTCACACTATGGTAGTAATACAAAATAATATCACCCGAGGCAATAAAACTTGTAGTACGATAAAAGTAGCATAGAATTTAATAAGCCCAAAGTGGCTACAGGTTTAGTAGTGGTAGAGAACGGAGTCGTTGCAACAGAAGAAACGGCGTCAATGAACTGTACTTGGCGTCAAGTACATACTCTAACCTGGAGCCTGTTTAACAATAATAGAACTTAAGCTTAAAAGTTGACCTGTACTTTTAGAACAAATTGTTAGTTTTCTCTGACCCAAGTTAATTCCCTGGTAGACCAATTTCATGAAATATTAGTTTTGCAATGAGAAAGAAAAGTTTACTGTTTCCAACATAATAATAGGCTTTAGGAAACTCCTGCACAAATTTTGCTGAACCGAAGAAGACCAAAAACTGTGAGGTTCTCTCAGTACACACTCTCTCTTCACAACAACCTTTTTCCTCACAAAACATCAAGGACTTCAATTTTTTTTCTTCTTTTTAGGAATAAAAAAGGTGTCACGATCATATAATACCATCCTGTTATCTCCACACCTGCCATCCACCAGTCTCACCACATCTTTCTGTCACAGCACAAAGTGGGTCTTAACACTGGCTAAAAAAACCTATTAACTTCCGTCACCCTGTCAACCCTCCCCAGCAAGACACTCTCCTTTCTATTATACACACCAAGGGCCATTCCTCATTTATACCATTGGGAAACACAAGGATAGATTAGGACTTTGATTTGTTATCCTCATCTTGGGCACGGCAGACTCGCAACACNTTTAGGAATAAAAAAGGTGTCACGATCATATAATACCATCCTGTTATCTCCACACCTGCCATCCACCAGTCTCACCACATCTTTCTGTCACAGCACAAAGTGGGTCTTAACACTGGCTAAAAAAACCTATTAACTTCCGTCACCCTGTCAACCCTCCCCAGCAAGACACTCTCCTTTCTATTATACACACCAAGGGCCATTCCTCATTTATACCATTGGGAAACACAAGGATAGATTGGGACTTTGATTTGTTATCCTCGTCTTGGTCACGGCAGACTCGCAACATGGGCCCTAAATCAGGATACTCAGTGAAGAGAGACTGATATGACAACACCTGCCTCTGAGGTGTTATTAAAACTCCAAACTTATCCCCGTGCAGATCAATCAGTGTCAGAGTCACCATGGAAACCAAAAAAGTCCCCCCTCCCTTTTGTTAGACTATACTGTTTAGGTATACAGGCAAGCTAGACTTGTGACGGGACTGGTGTAGTGATAGCCTATCAGGATTGTCACGCAACCACAGACAAGTCAATGAGGACGAGATTTGGTTTCCAAGGTGATAAATTAAAAAAAAAAAAAACTGTGTCTGGAATGAACTGAATGTTAGGATGGGGAGCTGGGATTCCCTTTGCATTCCATATTGATAAGGTTTTTCAGTTTATTTTTCTCATCAAATCTATACACTGTACCAAGTTTACTGTAATTCTCTTTCATGGGTAACAGAATTGACAAAACATTCTATTATTTTCAGGCCTATTGGTAGGGGTATGGGGGTGCTGGAAAGTGTATGCTCTGAATGAAAATTTCATTAAAGTTCTATTACGTTTCTCAAACTGGACTTACTAAGAGGGTAAAAAGATCCACCTTTTCAGAAAATGAAATCCTTTGAAAACTTTGGCAACAGGCCTGATTTGAGAAAGTCACAGAAGCGTCAAACATCTTGGAACAACACACTTGCCTTTATTCCACAATAAATCACAAGATGAATCTATTATACATGGTCATCAGACCTAGTTGTACAGTGGGACAGAATACCACAAACACTCTTTAAATTCCTTTTTGTAATTCTTAGTCTCAGCT